TCAAAAAAAGTGGCGCAGTTCGGCTTCGTGGGTACACGGAATGGTGTTCAGCGAAGCACCTCGTGAGAACCTGTAAGTTCCTGTTGCTAAAAAGGACCGTTCCGCAGCTCCACAAGAATTCACAGGTCTCACCAAATTGTCACCTGTTGGTCGAGATAAACCATGAAAATGAATGAGCGCTAACACACCCTCCCACCTCCAAGCCGAACAGCGCCAAAATGTCATAGTTGCAAAGAACCACATCAAGCTATGTGAAGCCGAATATCAGTAAAGAACCTACACAGAGACGCTGAATTTTACACCTGGGCCCAGCTCGAATCCAATGTTGCTGAATGAACGAAGGGAAAAGGTTTTCTGGAACACTCTGAAAGCACCAAATATATGTCAGTAGCCGCAATCATACATCTGTACAGTCTTGTTCGCTGCGGATGGTGGGCGTGTCAGGAGGCTGGGTTTGGCGCGGTGCCAGCGCGCTTTTCACCAATTTTCAGCTTGCTCGCTTCAACAACTGGTGAAGGAGGACTGGCGCAGTATCAAACCCAGCCTTCCTGACATGCCCCGGTTTTCGCGACAAAGAAACTGTATATCACAAACATTTCACAACCAAATAAAGCACTAACTGAGTTTCCAAGTCCTCGATCGATTTGCTGGCACCGATGTTAGGATCCAGCTGTCGCTAAAACGAGCTACCTGTTAGTTTACCAGTAATAATCGGAGAAGCGAAAAAGGAACACAATTCTATCCCACACTCTATTCACTGACAAGCGAGAGTCGTAAAGAGCACGTGGTACGCCGGGGGACTCCCAGCGGGCGGGGTGGGGGTGTCGAATTTGACAAGTGGAGTGAGGGGGGTCGTACATAGCATGAGAAAAACTTTATTGGTAGTTGATTCCCCCTGCTTCACGCGCGCTATCGACATCGTTAGGAGAACACTCATTGGAAGGGGTTGGGGAGGGGGCGTATTTTCTAACAGTTTTCCCCAGCGGGGAGGAAGTTTCCTGGTCATGGAGTAACCGCAGACACTGTTGACAGAGCAGTAGTTCAGATTACGAACTTTTTTCGCAAACTTTACCACCAATAACTTACCCAAACTCTAGTGTCCTTTTCGTAAGTCTCGTCATCATCATCATCCTCTTCTTTTCGCAGTAGTACCACCGAAAACTCTCCCGAGGTCCGTTTTCCTTGTTGATGACGGAACGAAGCCACTCCCTTCTTCATCCTAGTCTAGAAAAGATTCAGAAATACATTTCGTACTGTACAAGGACAAAGAACAAGACGCATCCAGCACGCTCCCAACTGGTTCTGGCTACTACCCGAAATAACTCACAAAATAGCCCTCGAGCTGCGTCGCCCAGTTCTCTTCGAAAGGATTCGTGTCATTGGTGATGTATACGATCGTCTGTTGTCGTTGCGAAACTCCTTGCCTGGAAAGAATACCACTCATTCTATAGCGCTGCTGCTGCTTCTCACATGGGAACTTCTTGTATGCCAGAAAATCTTGTAACGAGGGAAAGGCTAATCTGAACCATTTCAATGAGGAGCTAAAAATTCTCTCGAGGTTCACATACACTCGATATATTCAGTCGAAACGGTGTTAGTAAGCATGAAACGAGCCCATCCACGGCACTTTCTACCACCAATGGTTTTCTTCGTGAATCGATCACTGACCGATCATTATTGGTAAACCGACCACGGGGGCTGGCTCTTCTAGCCTTTCTGACACACAAACACTCAATCATTGCTGCAGCGTCATTGGTGGGAATGCTGCGAGAGAGCATTCAGCCACTACCCCTCAGCCCTTCATCGCCCTAGCAATCGTGCCCGCTGCCTTAGAAAAGGAGCCTAGCGAGTCGGCGGACCCCGGAAAATAAAGAAACTCTGAGAGAAAGCATTTGTGAAGCAGCCTCTGAACAATCTCAATCAGTTGCACACATTTGTACGATATATTTCAAAAAATATGCTGGAACCGCGTTTATAATTCGCGAATCAAGCAGTTTTCAAATTGCGCTATTGCGACCTACACCGCTCCTCTACAAGTCATTGGACCAATATAACCTCCAAGTCAATCACATTCATCGAAGAAGTTTTTTTCCAGGTGTCATGAGTTAGCTGTGAAGCAGGTCCGGTCGGAATTATGCAACTTAGACATTGGCCGCGTCGCCATGTATGAAAACTGCCTGATACCCGACACTTTGCAATGACATGGCAAGCTGACCATGACCAGTCAACCAACAACTTGAAAAAAAATAAATAACAGAACCTTACTCCATGAAAATTTTCCGGGAATACCAAAGCAGGGTGGACAAATCACATTTACGATGACCTCCGAAACGTTCATCAAAGGCGGCCTTGATGTCTTCTGAAAAAAGCACGTATTTCACAAATCAGAACATTCGGTTTCAAGTGTTGAAACTAATATAAATTGGAGAGTATGTATATAGGCCAGGAGATCCACACTGCGCTACGCGTCGCGACAAATAGCGCCACGTGCGCCTATTCCGAGCCAGTTGAATCACTAAAACACTGTAGGTGTGTGCGCCAACCAGCTTTTGAACATTATCCAGTTTGCGCGCGGTAACGCTATGCGGATTCCCCGACTCTAATACAGCAGGTATGCAACGCGGACAAGTGCGGGGTGGCTGAGCAAAAAGATGCACAAAAATAAGTTCTAAAAATTCACGACCCGTGCAGTCTTCAAGGTTTCTTTCGATATAAAAGGGAAAAGATAAAGTCTTTCCCGTTGATCGAACCCTTTTAGGGATGCGGCACGCATGCTGCTTACATCCATAATGATATTAGCTTGAAGGCGATGTGGCGTAGATAATGAGTTGCGAGGG